TACCATTATGTCTATTTGACATACCCTAGCCATGTTCCAATGAAGGCTAAATCAACATCATTATGAAATCACCAGCATCTCTAATCCTAATCAGAGAAGCAATAATAATTTTTGGAGCCATGGTGCCAATGGTATTTCATATACACAGCTATTCCTGTAGTGTATTTTTTCTTAAAGAAACATGTGCATTTTCTAGACTATTAAAATGGCCTTACAAAGTGGGACACATTTCTTAGCTGACACCATGACTTACTTGTTCAGTCCTGTTGACCCCGTGTCCATGGAGTAGATGCAGTAGATGCAGGTGTTTTGGATTCACTCCCCTTTGGTTTAGCTGAAAGGGGTGCTCTCAAAGCCAGAATGCGGCAACGGGGGAGAGGGGCACACGCCAGAGTATGAGCGGCTTCCAAGCCATGGCGCTGCTGGGGTCGGGCTGGGAGGCAGAGTCTCCCCTCCCTAACGTGGGCAAGAAAGGATGCTCCAGCCTTGCTTCCTGGCACCAACAGCCAAACACTTGCATTTTTAGAGTCTTTTTTTTTTTTTTTTTGATGAATGTTTGGGGTGTAGAACTTTTCCTCTGATGATAATTTTAGCACTAAAAATGTATCGAATGACATCAAATCCTGGCAAGCTTCAAAAGATGAGTGGGCGACTTAGGAAGGGTCTATTCTCAATAAATAACAATGGTGTCAGTAAAATCCAAGAGACTTGGAAATGAATTTACACACACACACACACACATACACACACACACCTTCTCTTCCCAGAAGCTGAAGTTGACTTAACACGTTGAGATGTTGTTACTTGGGTGTTTCTTTTCAATGCCAAGGAATACATTACTTTGACATTAAAGACAAACAGTTCTAACCCACAGAAAAGAGGGCACAGGATTTGGGCTTAAAAAGCACTAAACGCAGAATTATGGTCACACATGCAAGTCTTCTCCCCAGTGGGCCCCCCCGCCTCTTCCCGAGGCTTTCCCTCATGGAAAATCAATAGGACAAGTAAGGTGGGGACTCAGAATATAAACCAGTCATCCCATGTAGTTTCTTATTTACTTATTTATCTCACAGTATATCATGACAGCATACAAGATGGATTTTCCCATCAAGAATACACTGTATATTGGCTCAAAGACATTACTATACATATTATCTTCAACAAATAATTTTCCATTTTGTGTTTCTTAAATGTTTTGCTTCTTCCATTTTTCTCATTGATTCCTTCCCTCTCCCCCTCCACCACTTCCCACCCTCTCACATGGTCTCTGGTATCCACAGTTACTACGCTTTATGCCTTTATAGCTTCCAGTATTTTAGATTTTGCCATAGAATGCAGACATTTGGTATATATTAAGACATATACACTTGCAAGTGCAAAATAACCTCCCCAAGAATGTGGAATTACACATTTACACATATAATTACTCGTATTTGCTTACATTCTTCATGCTCCTCCTTCTCATTTCTCTTCCTGCCTCCTAAATTTTGAGAAAGAAATGTAAGATATATTTCTCTTTCCTTCCCTTTCCTTCCTTCCTTTCTTTTTCTTCTTTATTCTGCAAAAACTTTTATTTCCATTTGGAAAGGAACTAGGAGAGGGTCTTAGGGTGGCTAAAAATCTGCCTTGTGGCTGGAGGGAGTGACTCAGACAGAAGGGCTGAGACCAGGAGATATAGCAGAGGGGTTCCAGGCCACTGGTCTCTGGAGGCTCCTAGTCGTGCTTTGGGGTGAGCCTTTGGAAGAGACAGTTGCCCAGCTCAGCCCGGAGGCCCACCACCTATGGAGGTTGGTCAGGTGGTTGCCATCTTCTTGATGAGTTTCACCTCCTCATCTAGGAAGTGATTATCTGGGAAGTCACAGAGATGGAGGGAGTCTGTGTGGGCTGAACCCAGGGCAGTAGATCCAAAAAGGCCTCCTTCAGGCTCTTCCCCAGGGCCAGGGCAGCTTCCGTAGCATCCAGGGTTTCACCCTCTCCCAGAAAAGGGCAAGGCTGCAGTGCTGGTTTTGCATCTTTGAGGGATGCTGGGAGCCTTCAGTCTTCTCCTGGGCCAACTTGCAGGAGAGGGGGCCCACACCCTGCAAAGCCACATCCTTATGGTGGATGTAGAAGTCCCAAGAGAGGCAGGTACAGAACCATGGTTCATGGGGGCCTCTCCTTAGTGGAATAATTCCAACGAATCTGGGAGCTCATGGTTGGCCTGCCATTAGGAGCTAACCACAGAGATGGTGTTGGCTGGTCCCAGAAGCAGGAGGTGGTCAAGAAGATGGTCCCAGAGACTGCATCTAGAGAGGAGATTGAAGGATGTTTGGAGGTTGGCAAAGAACCCCCGGGTCTGTTCCTCCAAATACTGTGGAAGAAGGAGATGGATCGGTGGGACCTGCGGTAGCGCTGCCAAGATATATTTTTTCTATGTCTAATATCTCCTCAGGAGGGCTGCCATTGACCTTGATAGCAGATAAATAGTCGGCTGAAAGCAACTGCTCTATTTCTGTGAATCTCCCAGTCTGGAACAACAGAAGAGCCCAATTTACTAGTTCTGTGAACTTTATGATAAAAGCCAATCTACTGATACATACCAGTTTAACTTAGGGGATTTTTATTTCTAGAAGACAGATGAAAGTAAATTCCTTTTCAAATTTGAACATTTGTATCTTTTTTCCTTGGCCTCAGCTCCTGACATATATATAATAGTAAAATAAAAATGGCCCATCATCCCGCAGAATGGAGGTCATGATGGCTGACACTTGTATCACATGTGCATGTGTGCGAGGGCGTGTATCTGTGTGTGTAAGACATAGGCTAGTTATCTGCATTAGAAGCATCACTGAGGGCCACGGTGAGGTGGTCGTTAGGCCAGGATGGTCGTTTGCCAGGGCACTGGTGTCTGTGCCCTTGGCTGGCGTGGAATACCACTGATGGTCTACACTCTATGTCACCACTTTGCAGTAGGAGCAAAAGGAAGCACAAAGGAGTGCCCTGAAAGTAGGAGGAGAAGCCCCTTCCTCCTACAGTGTCTCTCCAGTCCCTAAACTGACAATATTTAACACTGTGCTTGTTGCAAAGGACAAGTTCTTAAAGAGTGTAACTCCATATTTAACAAACAGGTAATGAAGAGTGTATTTGGAGCTGAGTGCAACACATGGACAACTGGTCTACCTCCACGCAGAAACGAATGAGGAAGCCGGTCTGGACATTGACTTTGGGTGATTTGAGGAGAGCCAACGTCAAACCAAAGATCTTCCCTTTCTGTGGTTTCCTGGGGATTTCTGAGTCCCCAAGAATTCTCAGTCCCTCATTATCTGGACTAGGAATTCTAATTTGCCTGGAGTGCCTCTTATAATTTCCATTTGCTCAGTCATTTATCAGACTTTGAGAAAAAACCTCCTGTGAGACCAAAAAGCAACCAACCATGGCTTTCCACTGTCTGCAGAGGGTGGGGCTCAGGCTCCTCTTTCCTGGAGCAGGCACCTTTGCAGGCTCTGCATGCAGGTCCTTAGAGCCACTTGGCATCCCTCTGCTTCCTCGTCTATCCCTCATCAAAATCCCCACAGTCACTCTTTCTCGGCTCCCCTACTTCTCAGTTTCCCACGCTCTCCTAGACCCCGCTCTCGGCAGGTGACCTGGCTACCTGTTTTATCAAGATTTGAGGCCACATGAGGTAAATTCCTTAGACATCTCTCCCCTCTGCCTCAGATGTTCTTTTTCTTCACATCCCCTCTGAGCAAGAAAAACTCATTGCAGAATCCACCATGGCCTGCCCTGTGCAGTGGACACTGGGCAGGACCTAGCCTTCTAGCCACAGCTGATCCTAATCTGACTCGAAGCCAGACTGCACATTGGCCAAAACTGGCCCATCTGGCTCTGCCTTTGAAAAATAAAATAAACACAAAGACTACAGTGGACGCCTAGTATAGGTTTGACTCCTAGTCTGCTGTGGAGTCAGGACTGAGGCTGGCAGTCTGCGCCTTCTGCCAGGTGAGGAGAGAGTAGAAGGAGGATGAAGCAGGTGAGCAAAGAGTAGGACAGGGGCCTGTGACTGCAGAGTGAAGAATGGCTTCCAAATCACGCCCCGTTCTTGGGAAGCTGCACGTCCAAATGTGGCTGCTGGGATGCTCCCTGGGTTTGCAATAACACCCATTTCCACCTGTGCTAGTGTGAACGGTGTCTGGTTCATGCTAACTTTCAGTGGAGCCTCTTTCTAGGCCAAGGTTTCTCAGCCTCGGCACTATTAACATTTGGGTCCTGTAACCCTTTGCTGAGGAAGGTGTCCTGTGTCTTGTAAGATGCTTAGCAATGTCCCTGGTCCCTACCCTTTACATACCAGTGCCCTCCCCCTACTTGTGACAACCAAATGTCTCCAGGCTCCTCAAGCCTCCACCCAGGAGGATGTTGAGCACTGAAGGGCTGCTCTACTCAGGCAGGTTGGGGCCCTGGACATGCTGCGGGCAGGGAGTGAGGTGTGGGGGCTGTGGGCTGTGAACAACAGGGGACCCCAGTGGCAGTTCAGAGTGCAGCTGGTCGCTCTGGCATTTTGCATGTATGCTGCCTTTCTTGTCTAATCCTGAGGCTGGTTTTGCCAGTCTTCTCTCATTTCCTGGACCTGGTAGAAGGCCAGAGCTGGACAGACAGGGAAGAGTCAAGGAGGTCAAGACTTTCTAGGGCTCTTCCTGCAGGCTTAGGGCACACAAGTCTTCATTTATGGGAGAACTGAGATGTCCAGAATTCATGTGGAAAGTAGGGAATCAGGTCTGCAAGTTTAAGATATCAAGGCGTGAGTCCAAGTCCACCCTGCTTCTCTTCTAGCTTAACTGCAGGGGAGAGGGAGGAAGGGTCAGGCCAGCCTGGGGAGGGGTGTCCCACTGGGCCTGATCTTGGATTGGCTACAATGAGGAGAAATCTTGGGGAGCATATCAACATGAAGCCTTTTAGGGCACTCGTATTTTTTTTTGTATTAAAATGTACATGTGTCTGGCCCATTTGGCTCTCTGAGTAGCACCATGGAGGTTGGCAAGAATCAGCACCTTACAAAAGGCGGCCAAAAGGGAGCCAAGAAGAAAGTAGTTGATCCATTTTCTACAAAAGATTGGTATGACGTGAAAGCATCTGCTATGTTCAACATAAGAAGTATTGGGAAGACACTAGTTACTAGGACTCAGGGAACCAAAATTGCATCTGACGGCCTTAAGGACTGTGCGTTTGAAGTGAGCCTTGCAGATCTGCAGAATGATGAAGCTGCATGTAAGAAATTCAAGCTAACTACTGAGGATGTTTAGGGCAAAACCTGCCTGACCAACCTCCATGTCATGGATCTCACCAGTGACAAAATGTGTTTCATGGTCAAAAAATGGCAGACCATGACTGAAGCTCATGTCAATGTTGGCTACTGATGGTTATTTGCTTCGTCTCTTCTGAGTTGTTTTACTAAAAAACACACCATCAGATATGGATGTGTCTTAGGCCCAGCATCAGCAGGTCTGCCAAATCTGAAAGAAGATGATGGAAATCATGACCTGGGAGGTGCAGATAAATGATTTGAAAGCAGTGGTCAATAAACTGATTCCAGACAGCATCGGAAAAGACAAAGAAAAGGCCTGCCAGTTCATCTACCCTCTCCATGATGTCTTCGTCAGGAAAGTTAAAGTGCTGAAGAAACCCAACTTCAAATTGGGAAAACTCATGGAGCTTCATGGTGAAGATAGTAGCTCTGGAAAAGCTAGTAGGGATGAGACGGGCACCAAAGTTAACGAGCTTTTAAAATCTGTTTAAAGTTCAGATTTTAATAGTGACAAAAAGTCCTATTTGTGACAAAAAATATTTTACATGTGTCCTGATAAGGGATTAAAACATTAAAAACAACATACTAAAAGTGTCTTCAGACATTGCCAAATGTCCGCTGAGGGGCAAAAGCATTCCCAGCTGAGGGCCAGTGTTCTAGGCTAATCTTTGCTTAGGTTCTCAATGCTGGATCCGCTCTCACGTCTAGGGCATGCTGCATCCGGCCCTCTTCTTTGACCTGTAAACTTGCTCCACTATCTCTGTTCCTTGGCCAAGTTTTTCTGCAGCTGCTCTCCCCTTTCTCTTCTTCCCTGTAAGGAGGAGTTGAATTGGATTTGCTGCCCTTTGCTTGCTCATCTTAACCTCAGCCAGTATGAGTCTCCTGTAGGGATTTCAAAGACTTACATTATTCATCAGAAAGTCATTCTGCGTTAAATCCCATGCACTCAGGGGCCCCCACCATCCCTATGTATCCGCCTTTGCTGTTGGATTAGATGGAGGAGCGATGTCTAAGAAGCACTCTCTTTGACATTTACACTCAGCAAATTTACAGCCGTCCTGGTATAGCAAAGTACACCCACAAAGCCACAAGAAAATCACCACAGAAAAATATTACAGCATTCTAAATAGAATATATTAATAATGAAAGATCAAATAATGAAAAGTGAAGGAATAAATTAAATACTTATTTATGTAAGCAATGATGATATATCCTTTTTTAGTACTGCAAGGAATAGAAAAAAGACAAAATATTTGCACTCAAGAAGTTTATATTCTAATTAAAAACCTAATGCATATACATATGAAAAGGTGGTTGAATAAGGTAGCATATAATGGATTCACGTCGCAGGGTATAGTTAGCACATACCACACAAAGTGAGAGGAGACTCCCATCAGATTACCTCATGTGTCCTCTTACCATTCCCAGAGAACAGTTACATAACAATGATCATTTATTGAACGCATAGTGTGTGCTAGGCTCCATGGAGACAACTTGATATTATTTGCTTTTTGTACATGAGATATTAAAAGAGATTGTTCAGGTGGCTCTGTGGCCCAGTGGTTAAGGGAACTGGATTCCACATGACTGACTGCGTGGTTTAGGTCCCAGCACTGGCAGCTTGGAAAACTCTTTGGCCGTGTATGCTCCAAATCTTGATAGGGCAGAGAAATGGAGGAGAAGGGATTGTAACATGACCACTCCCTGTTGGGCATTGCTTTCTTCCTCTCTTCCTGTCTCTCTGTCTTTTTTTCTGGTGAATGCATATATCCACTGGCAAAAAAAAAAAGTGTGTGTGTGGGAGCAGCAGGTGGCATGGTGGGTAAGGCAGCTGGATCCTATCTGGCTCACTGCACGGTTGGAATCCCACCTGCAGCTTGAAAAACATACCGGGTGTACATGTGTGCATGCCCAAAGTCCTGAGAGGAGAATGGAGGAGAAGGGACTGTGGCATGGTCATCTCCTGTGGGGGTGATTTCTCACTCCCCTCTGCTCTCTGTCTCTCTCCAGTGAGCACATGTGCCATATAGCAAAAACTAATTTACAAAAAGAAGAGGGGGGTGCTTTTCCTGAGCTCTTGGGCTTTGGGGTAAGGCCTCCAAATCTGAGAACAATGGATGATAGTGAGCCCACATTCTAGATGGAGTTGTTAGGGTACTCCTGCCAGACCAATGGAGGGGCTGCCAAACTGATTCTCATCCCTCGCTGCCATGACCCATCTCCAGCTCTGTAAAGAGAAGATGAGAAGAGATGGCTGATTGAAAACATCCTTGAGGCAGACGCATTCTTGACTTGACCCAATGATAAGCACTGTGCTCTGCTGTCCCCTGTGCTGGGTTATAAAGGTGCCTGCCACAAGAGGACTCGCATTCACTGCCTCGGCTGGCTGTCAGCTGGGCTGCAAAACTAAGCTGCTTCCCACTTTGAGACTCTGAAGGCTGAAACTGAAGGCTGGAGCTGGGCCATGGCAGCCATTAGATGTTGGGGAAGATCCGTGGGCCTTGTCTTTTTGAATGGGACTCCTCTGGCAGGCCTTCTTGCCAGCAAGACCAGGTTGCATGAAGAGGAATGAACAGGCTGTGTGGTCGGAGCTGCTGGACATGGGGTCTGGAGGTCAGCTGGACAATGCACTGCCTTCCTTAGGGAATTGTAGTGCAGAGGGATCTCCAGAGAACTCACACATCTGCACCCCACCAAAGAGCCAGATGTAGAATGATAGAGGCTAAGAGAGCACCGACTAAGTAAAAGGGCTTCACCTTTTTATTTTTATTTTAAATTTCTCCATCTTGGGGCTAGCAGATGGCGTGGTGAAGGCACTGGGCTCCCATAGCGCTGACCACAGTTCAAATCAAAGACCTGGTGGCTTGAAAATCACACTGGGTGTGTGTGTGTGCATGCCCCAAATCCCAGGTCAAGAGTGGAGGAGAAGGGATTGTGGCATGGCCATCCCACTTGGGTGGTGATTTCTCACTTTCTCTCTCACCATCTCTCTCTGTCTACTGCACTCACCCTACGGCAAAAAGTTAATTTTTAAAAAATTTTTATTTCTGGGACCTATAGTAACCCAGACCCCAGAAATGGAAATAGAAGTGGGATGCCAAGGCATGGATTCTATCATGAGAAAGGCATGTGTCAGCAGAGTGCTCAAGGTGGCACCTTTGTAACCATTTCACGGCAGACGAGCCACAAGGGAGATTAGTTATGGCCAGAAGGTCAGAGATGAGGTAGTGACAAGAACAAGGTGATTTGCTGCAAAATTCACTGCACGGATCAGCCTGCACCAACCAGCCAAAATTAGACTAACACCGTATCCCTCATGAATGAATGGATTTATGCAATAATTATCCAAGACTGCTAGCATCACAAAATGTGTCTCCTGATAAAAATCACACACCATCCATGAATTATTAGGTCGTCAGAAAAGTCATGACATATTTTTCTATGCAAAAATGCATCATGACTTTTCCAATGACAGAATAATTTGCCCCACCCCCGCCAAAAAAATGGATGGGCTCTCTCCATGCAATTCTCAATGTATGGGAAATAGAGGACTGAGGAATGCGTTAAATGACACTGATGCCCAAGGCAAAGTTCAGGTAGTCGCACACTCTACAGAACAAATAATGCTGTCTCTTTAACACGTAAATTGCAGAATGAGAAAGAAGATGGAGTAGGGAACTTACAAATTAAAAGACTTAAAAAACATATAACCAATCATAATGTATGACCATTATTTGGATGCTGCTTTAAACACATAAAAAAAATTTGAAATAATCAGTGAAATTTTGAGACTAATGTGTATTCATGATACTAAGGAATTATTATTATATTTTGAGGTGAGATAATAGGATAGTGTTTTATTTTTATTTTTAGATGTATGCCCTGAAATAATTGCAGATGAAATGCTATGATGCTGGGGGTCAATTTGAGAATAATCCAGGGTCAGGGAGGATGCTTGAGAAGTGAATGTGAGTATAAATGAAGCACCATTGTTTGTGAGTTGCTAATTGTTGGAGCTAAGTGAAGGCTATATCAAGGTTCATCATGCTTTGTCTACTTTTGTATATAATTAAATTTTTCTATAATAAAAATAAAATAGGTTTTTACAATGAAACACAGATCAAAGGTAGAATAATACAAATAGCAACAGCAAGAAAATGGCAGAGGTGACACATGTACTCCTACAAGCGCCATCTACCAAGATTAAAAGCAACGATAACCTAATTAGAGCTGACACAAACGTGGAGGAGAGCATCTAAGTTACCAAGACTCTTAGAAATATTTTTAAAGAAAGAACCCTGATACTGTTCCTTAAGATATTAGCTAATACTAATATGGGCATTCAATGATTAAAAGCTATATTAAAACTATAAAACTAGGCATCCACATCTAGGGACTTCTACTCCTGGCCATGATGGAGTGAAAGGGATTGGATTTACACTCCCAAGTCTCATAACCAAAAAGGCAAAACATATGAATCAATCATTTTCAGACCTGGGCTAACAGAGGGACGGACAGTGATCCCTGAAAGAGGGAAACAAGTGAGTGCTACAAATCAGGTGAGTGCTACAATGAGCATGTCTTATGGCTCAGACAGCGTTTCTGGTTTCGCTGCACAAACAGAACATGGAGGGCACCCTGAGTCCAGGAGACAGAGTTAAGAATCAGCAGCAGAGTAGCACTATATGAAATATTAAAGAAAGTCTTCCAGGTAGAAAGAAAATGAAATGAGGTAGAAATCCAGATCGACACAGAGAAACAAAGAATATCTGAAATGGTAATATGTGGGCAAATATGGAAGGTTTTTTTTTTCTTATTTAAAAATCTCTTTTAAAATAGAAGAGATTATTTTAGTGAGCAAAATGATACTTAAAAAAAATTTGCCAGGGAACCAGCAGTTAGTGTAATGGCTATGTCGCTGGATTCCCACGTAGTCGACCGCGGTTCATGTCCTGGACCCGGTGGCTTAAAACTCACGCCAGGCGTGTGTGCGTGCGTGCCCAAGATCCCGAGAGGAGAATGGAGGAGAAGGGATTGCGGCGTGACTGTCCCCCCTGGGGGGTGATTTCTCGCTTTCTGTCTCTATGTCTCTCTCTGTCTGTCTGGCGAGCGCACGCGCCCTACAGTGAAAATCTCTCAAAAAAAAAAAAATTGCCAGAGGGTATGTGTGTTTGCCAGAGAGAGAGAAAGAGAGAGTGAGAAAAAGAGGGGGGGGCATCCTCCCTGTGGGCAATGGTCACATTGCAATTCCTACTCCCTCATTGCTCCTTCCCTTTGGGATTTTGAGCCGCATGCACACATGCCTGGCATGTTTCTCAGGTTGCTGGGTCCAGGACTCCACTATGCATTTTGTCATGTGGGATCCAGCCTTAACCACCATGCCAATGACTGGCCCAATGTTTCTTTATTCTAAAATCAATTAATTAAAAACGTTACATTTTTTCACTTTAGCTCATTCTATAAACGTTTTTGTTTTTTGGCTAGTTTTATT